ACACAGCTTGATCATCACCCTTGTTCTTTACTCTTATGTGGGGGCGTGGGCTTCACAGCTCAGTTCTGGGCTGAGATTCGTGTCCACGGTTAATGCAGTGACCCCCTAGCCGCAGTTTTAGGAGAGGCCTACTCTATTCCTCCAGGGAGGTCAGGGTCTGTAACGTAGCAGGACAGCTAATGCTCCTGTGACCATCACAGGGACATTTTTCTTTGCTCTGGGTCTCTGGTGACCTGCATTCTCTGCAGCTGCCAGACCCACGAGTGGAATGGGAAGTGGCTACCCTGCCCAGGCCTGCCCGCTGGGCTGGAGGATGGCCAGGATCTGACCTGTTCTTGGTGGCCAGGCTGGCAACCTGCAGGTCTCAGGCTCTGTTGACTTCCGTGTGGAGATGTGATCTCTCCATTACAGGGAGGGCACGTGTGGTCCGGAGTGATCCTTGAAAACCTCTGATGATTAAACTTAAAAGTCTCAAATAGAACAATCCTTGGAAAATAAATTGGCATCCTCTTGTACAGTTGATGGTGTATAGACCCCACAACCCAATAGTTTTATTATTAGATACATTCCTAACGTGCAGGAATCTTGGGAAAAAAAAAAATGTGGATCGGGTGGCTGTACATAATGCGATTCTGGCTCAACTCAGAATTAGCAAAATGAACAGTCTATTATTAGAGATATGTACTTATGTGGTGAAATTGAGGCAGGGCCAACAGATGAGGGTGCAGTTCTTAGGCTGAGTGTGGGTTCCTGGTGTTCACTGTGCTATGGTTGCCCTTCAGTGACTTAAATATTTGTCACATACTTTACAGTGTGCTTAAAAAAAAAAAAGAAAGAAAAAACAAAACCACACACACACACACAAAACAAAACTGAGTTCAGATTCTGTTCTAGAGGTAACTTTGCAAATTACTCTCACTAGCTCCAGTGTCCTTTTTGTTATGGACAGTAAATCCTGATGACATGACACAACCACATCACATGAGAGTGGCCATTATTTAAAAAAAGGAAAGAAAGAAAGAAAAAGGAAATTAACAAGTGTTGGGGAGGATGTGGTGGAGAAACAAGAACCTTTGTGTGTTGCTGTGAGAAATATAAAATGGTGCAGCCACTATGGGAGACAGTACAGTGGTTAAAAAATTAATCACAGAGGGGCCAGCAGGTGGCATGGAGCTTAAGGCACTGGACTCCCACATGACTGACCATGGTTCAAGTCCTAGACCCAGTGGTTCAGAAGTCATGTCAGATGTGTGTGCATACATGCCCAAAATCCCCAGAGGAGAACGGAGGAGAAGGGATTGTGGCATTGCTGTCTACTCTGTGGGTGATTTCTCATTTCCCCTCTGTCTCTCTCTGTAGCTCTCCAGTGAGTGTACATGCCCATGACAAAAACCTAAAAAAATAATAATAATAAATACAAATAAAAATCATAGAATTACTGTATGATCCAGAAATCCCATTTGAAATGGAAAGCAGAATGGTGAGCAGATAGTTGTATGTCCACATTGACGGAAACACTGTCCACAATAGCCAAAAGGTGGGAGCAACCCAAGTGTCTACCAGCAGATGACTGGATAAACAAAACGTGCTACAGTCATCTCTTGGTGTCCATGGTGAGGGTCCATTCTAGGAGCCCCTGTGGGGACCAACATCCATGATGCCCAAATCCCTTACGTAACATGGTGTGTAGTGATTATATATGACCCACGCACATTCTCCTGTATCCCTTGAGTGGTCTCTAGATTACTTATACCTGACAGAGTTTCATAGTTATTCGTTCAGAGTATAATGACAGGAAAAACAATCAATACATGTTTAATCCAGGTGCAACCATTTTTTTTCTACTTGGTTTTTTTTTTTTTGGAGAGATTGTCACTATAGGGCGCGTGCACTCGCCAGACAGAGAGAGACATTAGAGACAGCGAGAAATCACCCCCCACAGGGGATGGTCACGCCGCAATCCCTTCTCCTCCATTCTCCTCTCGGATCTTGGGCACGCACGCACACGCGCCCGGTGTGAGTTTTAAGCCACTGGGTCCGGGACGCGAACCGCAGTCGACTACGTGGGAGTCTAGCGACATAGCCATTACGCTAACTGCTGGTTCCCCCTATTTGTTTTTGACCCACGGTGGGTTGACTCTTCCAGCGCAGAACCTGAGAATACAAATGGCTGACTATATCTACAGGAGAATATTATTCAGCCATCACAGAAATTCTGGCACATGCCAGAACACAGACCTTAAAGCCATAGTCCCAGTGAGATAAGCTAGTCACCAAAGGACAAACATTGTCAATTCCTTTTCTGTGAGACGTGGAGTAGAGGAGACGTTACCCAGAGCTGGAGGAGAGCGGGCTGGGAAGTTCTTGCTTCCAGGTATAGAGTTTCCGTTTGGGAACACCACACAGTTCTGGAACGGGATGGTGCCCTGGTACACGCCACAGATGCGTGTGGTGCCACTGAAGGATGCTCTCCAGTGTTGAAAGCACTGAACTGCACATGCGTCTTACTCCAGTCACAAAAGCACTGCAGCAGCAGGGCTGGCGTGACCTGAGTCTCTGAGGCAGTGCAGCCTGCCACGGCCTGCCAAGGCCTTCCACGGCTGTGAAGGGGCTGGACAGGGCTTGTGGCTCGGGCCCTCCCAGGGCCCTGGCACATGGGGAGTGCTCGCAAGGCTTGCTGAGTGACTCTCTGCGGGCTCCTGGGCCACACAGGAGTACTTACTGAGCTCCTGCAGGCTCTGTCCCTCCCGGGGACTGTGGCCTGGCATCAGGGAGCCTGGAGGAGCTGTCCCTAGTTCACTGCCTCAAGCTTCTCTCAGGTTGGCGAGCACCCGCTACGGCAGGGTCGCTGGCCTCACACCCATCCTGCTCCTGGCCGGTCCTCTCCCAGAACATGGCTTGTGGGGTACCGTGGCCGAGGGCGAGCATGGCTCCTGGATGCAATGTAGCCCACAGGGAAGGTGCGTGTGGACAACAGAACAGACCGCCAGAGCGGCCTTGGAGCATCGGGACCCACCCCTGCCCCTGAGGTGGCTGTCGCTAAATGGATAGCGCTTGTGGCCTTGGCTGGCATTTGTGCTCCCCCGTGCACAGAGCTGCAGCAGGTGTATGCAGACAGGGCTGGAGACGAGGTCTCGCTGCCATGGGCCATCTGCTGGGGACTGTCACAAGAGCCTGAGGTCCTACAGCCAGAGATTGGGCTTCCAGAAATACTGAGAGTCCAACCACTGGGCATCTCAGTGACAGCTGGCAAAATAATGGTGATTTCTGAAGTTTCTCCTAAAAAGAACCTAAATGAGAAGAGCGTTTTCCTCCTGAGGAGAGCAGGTGCTGTCGGGTGAGTCCCAGTTCTCTCTTGGCTCCTTTGACTCCCTGGCTTCCTCTCTTTGGACCTGGGGTGCCGTGGGCCCACTGATTGGCCAGGGGCCTGGTGTCGCACTGGCTGTGATCAGGTGGGGCTGGAAAGGCAATCTGCTGAACACGGTGGCTGGAGGGTGGGGAGGAGTGCCAGTTCTGGAGACCAAGTGCCTGGATTCAATCCTCGCACCTTCCTGAGACTGGCCCTGTCTGGCCTCCACTCAGCTGTGGAGGCCTGTGCAGGCTGCCCAGCCGCAGAGACCTCGGTCACACAGCGCTGCTGGTGCGGTGGTTCGAGCTGGCCACTGAGACCACTGCAGTCACAGGTGACTTTGGGGTGGGAGCTGGGAGCCCCCAGGGCTTTCCACTCTCTTCAGTTATTACCTGTTCCCACCATTTCCAGTTTAGCCATTAAAATAGAAATGACTGGTTGATCGGGACTGAGTTATTGAGGGTTATTTTCATTGGCTTGAGTGTTCGTTAAATTTGCATTCGGTGCAACCACACAGTCATATTCCACGCAACTTTCAACTTGGAGAGTTACTTAAGTAGTGATGAAATGGGAACCAAGATGCCTTTTTTTTTTTTTTTTAACTCCTCTAAAGATTATTTGTGGAGCAGGGCATGTGGGTTCAGAAAGATACAGAAAAGGACTAGCGTCCTGAGTGTCAACAGGGGAGTACAAGGGGGGTAACCTGATTGAAGGGGCCTCGGAGGGGACTATAAATCCTGACACATGGAGGTTGTGTTAGTATCCACGGGCTGAATGATGGGTAAGAGGCACTTTGTTTTCTTTCTTTTTTTTTTTTTGAGAGGTTTTTGCTATAGGGCATGTGCGCTCGCCAGACAGACAGAGACAGAGAGACAGAAAGCGAGAAATCACCCCCCAAGGGGGGATGGCCACACCGCAATCCCTTCTCCTCTGTTCTCCTCTCAGGATCTTGGGAACACACACATATGCGCCCGGAGTGAGTTTTAAGCCACCGGGTCCGGGACGTGAACCACGGTCCACTACATGGGAGTTCAGCGACATAGCCATTATGCTAACTGTTGATCCCTGTTTTGCTTTTGAAAAAAATACTTGCATAGAAATATGTGTTCTTGCCATCACACCTGAAATCAATTTTCTTAATTTTAATTTATTTTTGAGATTTTTTTTTTTTTTTTCCTGTAAGGCACCTACATTTGCCAGAGAGACAGAGAGGAATTACCCTCGGGAAGGTGGCCACACTGCAGTCCCTTCTCTTCCCTTCTTTTCTCAGGATTTTAGGCATGCATGCGCATGTGCCCGGCATGAGTTTCAGGCCTCGGGGTTCAGAACTCGAACTGTGGTTGGCCACGTGGGAGCCAGCACCTTAACCACGGTGCCACATGGTGGCCCCCTAATTTCATTTTTAAAAGTGTTTATTCTGAGGTCAGGGGTGCCTCAACAGGGTCCTCGTGCTGCCATCCACTCCCTGGTCTCAGCCGGGCCAGATCCTGGAAGCTGGGAGACCAGGTAGATGCTGTGTGGGAGACAGATGGGGTCCTGGTGGCCAGTCTGGGAGCAGAGCCTGTAACATGGCTGGGTTCTCTGCCCAGAACGGTGGGGCAGCCGCTTTTCGGAGGCATGGTGCTAAGAAGTGATGTCTCTTCTTTTTCAGTACAAACTTCGAGGGAGCCCGGCTGGCTGGAAGGAACCCTGAATGGCAAGCGGGGGCTGATTCCACAGAACTATGTCAAGCTGCTGTAGCTCTGGGCCCTGGGGGCCCCGCCTGGCACCCGAGGACCTGCCCGGTGCTGTGCCCACACCACTTGCACAAGTAGGAGCTGCGAGCAGGACACGGCCGCACCACGCACACCGTGTAGGTTTGTGGGTGGCCAAGAACGCCAGGACCCACTATGGACTTCCGTTTGTCAGGTCTTGGGACTTGTGATTCTACTGACCCAGCCTGTGGGGTGTGGGGCGGGCAGCCTCTGCCACCAGCGTGTCCCACCGGCCACCCACCACCAGACCGCGAAGGACCCCTCACCAGCCACAGACGTGCACCTGCTGCCGGATTGGAAGGGGAACCGCGCTTCCGCGCAGTGCATTTCGCAGGGCGTCTTGGCTCCTCGCTGTGGTGTGGGGGCTGCGGCTGTCTCCAGGGGAGTCTGTCCCAGCCCAGAGGGACACGGGGCCATGCCCCTCTCAGCCCGCCCACCCCCTCAGTCTCCCACCGCCCGACCCCCAGCACAGCCGGCCGAGCACACCCTGTATTTAGAGCAGGCTTCTCGGCCTCCTCACTGCGTGCTGTTTTCCCAACACACCTTTGGCCCCAGGGTCTCTGTAAATGAAATAAAGTGTTATTTACTATTTGATGTGCCCGACCCAACGCAGGGAAAGACCCTGCTGTTGCGATGGTTAATGATTGGGCAGCCTGTGGGCGGAGAGGCGTGTTCTCTGATGTGGCTCAGGCTTGGGGCTGCAGGGGGCGCTGTGCGCCCCCCATCTCTCACAGACAGTGGCTGCTTCTGCCTCCCAGGCCCCCGTCTCTCATCCGGAAGCAGCTGCTGTGGGAAGGGGCAGTGGCAGGCGGCTCAGGTAGTCACACCACTTAGGGTAGCTCTGACCCGCGGGAGGCTTGCACAGGCCTGTGGGCAGGCCCTGCTCCAAAGCTTCCTCCCAGGCATGGGCTGGACCTCCTGCTGCTGCCCTGGGGGTCTGGCATGTCTCTTCTTCCATGTGGAAGGTTTCTAGGTCTTTCAGAGTTCTATCTTAAGAAAAAAAAAGTCCTTAGCTCCATGGTTAAGGGAGCCAGGTCCCACATGGCTGACTACGGTTTGAATCCTGCCCTGGTGGTTTGAAAGCATGCCAGGCGTGTGTATGTGTGTGCCCCAAATCCTGACTGGTGGCAAAATGGAGGAGAAGGGACTGTGGAGTGACCATGCCCCATTGAGGGCTGCTTTCTCCCTGTCTCCCTCTCTCCTGTCTCTCTGGGAAGTACATATGCTCTCTGGCAATAAAAATCAAAGTATCCAAAAAAAAAAAAAAAGCATATTGCCTTTTCCCCAGAGGAAAGAGCTGCTGGTTAAAGCCTTTGAAGTCACCTCCCTTGGGTCACGTAGCCCCAGGAGCACAGACCCCGCTGTGGGTGTCCAGGCAAGAGCAGGGCCGTGCCAGAGGAGAGCCGGGGCGGTTCTGGGAACATGCCCCATGAGTGTCAATGTAGCCAGACTTGCCAAGGCCTCTGGGCAGGGAGCTTTCACTGGACATGGTCCAAAATAGACTTAGCAATTGGGCCCTGGGCTGTTTTCCTACATCGTGGGCCATCTCAGTTTTCCCAGAAGAGAAACAGGGTGTGTGTGTGTTGCTGTGTGTGCGGGGTGTGTGTGGCTGACCCCAGGGTATCTACTGGGGGCCGGCCTGGGAGCGATGGTGCTGTCCTACTCGGGCTCTGCCCCTCGACCCCAGCAGAACCGGCAGCAGCTGTGTAGGCCAGGTCTGTGACCTTGTTCAGAAGCAAGACAGCAGTCTGGGGCAGAAGAGGCCTCCCAGACTGGGCTTGTCTGGTTGGCAGTGGGGCCTGCATCTGCTGGTGTCACCTGCTGGGCTGTCACCAGCCAGTGTGCCTGTGAAGGAGACGGCAGGGGTGAGAACAGGGCCAGAAGGCGTTACCTTCCTGCGCAGGAGCAGAAGCCTCTGCGTAGGGCATGGGTGAGGAGAGCACTGAGTGCCTGTGTCTGTGCTGGGCAGTTAACTCCTTCCCTTCCAGTGACTGGGTAAGTGGGAGGAAGAACCCTTAGACAAGAACTCGGTCAACGAGGCCTGCTTGGGTGCCATAGCCGTCACAGGCCCCTTGGGTTGCACTATCTCATCTCCTGGGTCAGCAAGGTGACAATGGCTATTACGGGTTAAATTGTCCCCTGCCCAGGATTGAAGTCCTAACTGTAACATACCCGAGAATGTGCGTGTTTGGAGACAGAGTTGTTGCAAGTGTAACTAGTCTGGGTAGCACGGTAGGCCTGGGACCTCATCTGGTAGGTCTGTTGCCCTTAGGAGAAGGGGAGAATCAGACACCAAGATAAGAAAAACGATGTGAAGAGAAATAGCACAACATCGACAAGCCAAGGAGAGAAGCCAGGGCCACATTCTTTCCTCAGATCCTGCAAAAGGAACCAACGCACTGGCACTTGATCTCGGACTTCCAGGCCTCCAGAACTGTGAGGAAATACATTTCTGTCATTTAAGCCAACTGATTTGTTGTACTTTGTGACAGTAGCTCTAGGAAACTAATGACTAAAAGTGCAAATTTTGATTTAAAAACAATCTTATTTTGAAATCCTCTTCTCACTATTCTATACCGTGGTGACCTCAGGTAAATTACTCTCTTACTCCTCAGTTTCCTTCTGTGAGGTGGAGAGAGTAATACCAGCCTCCCTGGGGAGGGAGATGATGGACATCAAGTGCTTGAAGGGCACATGGCCAGAGACGGAGGGAGGAGAAGGCAAGGCCAGCAGGGCCCTGTGGTGGTAGCGTTAGCCTGTCTCCCCCATAGCTTAGCCATCCTCTCTAGCGTCTCTTCTCCAAAGGCCATTCCTTGCCCATGCCCTTTGCCCTATGGTGTTCAGCCTTTCCCTTCCCAAGATGCTCTTGGCACTTTAACCTTGGACTTGCCGTCATTCTCTACCCATGTCTGTGTTGGATGCCTTTTCCACTTTCCGCTTCTCCCATCAAGTTTCTCAAAGATGTCTTGGTTACTCCTTCTTTGGCCAGATGGTATGCAATGGCTCCTTCAATTTCTTCAGCCTCAGGATGTTCCTTCTTCTCTCTTCTCTGAAGATGTCATTCCGGGAGCCCTCTCACTGCTGTCCCCCTCCTCGCTCTGCAAATGTCTTCTCAGATGCTCAAAAACACCCTTGTTGACTGGCCTGGGCAGTAATTTATTACTACCTCATTTGGGCAACCCAGCTGATTCTCCTACTGGTTTAATGGCTGGCTGAAAGTCTCTCCATCTCCTGATTAGAATACACTGAGGGATACTTTCTGTGTGAAGATCCACTTGCCTGGAGGGAAGACTTCTGTGTCTTTCCAAACAAGAGACCCACACTTCGCACTTGGGCAATGACTGTTCATGGGATTCCCTTAGGCAGCTCAGTGCCTTGTGTAGGTATCTGGATTTCTTCCTTAGAGGGTTTAACAACTGTGGCAAATCTGTGAGGTGGCGCAGGAGGAGCATGATCAGACCCAGCTGGGTCAGGCTGTCCCAGGCATGAAGATCCATAGAAATGGGTTTCTCAGACCAGGGGAAACTTAGAAACCACTGTCATAGCAATGCACGTTGAATGAAGACTATGAATAATGGCTAGTGGGGGTCCAGCAGTTAGCATAATGGCTATGTTGCTGGACTCCCATGCAGTCGACCAGTTCGAGTCCTGGACCCGGTGGCTTAAACTCATGCCAGGCACGTGTGCATGCGTGCCCAAGATCCCGAGAGGAGAAGGGATTGCAGCATGGCCATCCCTCCTGGTGGGTGATTTCTTGCTTTCTGTCTGTCTCTCTCTGTCTGTTTGTTGAGCACACGTGCCCTATAGCAAAAACCTCTCCAAAATAATAATAATAATAATGACTAGTGGTAGACGGATTTAACTGTTTCCAACCTTCCACCCCTCTCAAGCCTTTCAGTAAAAAGTCCTCTCAGGCCAAATCTAGGCTTGACCTTATAACTCACTTTGGCCACTGAGACAGGAGCAAACTTGAAGTAAGCAGAAGCTTGGAAAGTATTACACCTTTCCACCTGCTTTCTGAGAACCCTGCCATGGAAATAAGCCCAGGTTGGGGCCAGCAGGTAGCGTAGTTGTTGTGGTGCTGGATTCCCACATAGTCAACCACAGTTCGAGTCCTGGATCCGGCAGTTTGAAACTCACGCCGTGTGTGTATGTGTGTATGTGTGTCTCCAAAATCCTGAGAGGAGAATGGAGGAGAAGGGATTGAGGTGGTCATCATCCCTTGGGGGTGATTCCTCACTGTCTCTCTCTGTGTGTCTCTCTTGTGCCCCATAGCAAAAATCTCTCGTAACAAAAGAAAGAAAGAATAAAATAAAGCCAGGCTAGCTTCCTAGAGGATGGAACCACGTGGAGCAAAGCTGCCGCAGAGCAGATACTCGCAGGCCCACCACAGGTGGGTGAACAGGCCCAGCTCAGCCGGGCCAGGTCCAGTCAGCAGCACTCTGCTTCCCAGCTGACTCCGATAGGAGAAAACTAAGTGGTGGCTGAAATCGAAACCACTGAGTTATGGTGTTTCTTAGCAGTCACTAATTGCCGACTGCCCTGCCCCATCAATTCCTTTGGACAGGAGTCTTGGTCCATGCTGAATATCAAGATTGTAATCTTCTCCAACCCAACAGTTGTTTGGGAAACCACTATTTTATTAAAAAAAAAAAAAGAAAAAGAAAAAGAAAACCCACCAGCAATTGATGATTCTAAATTAAAGTGCCAGAGATACTTCTAATCAAGCCGTTGTAATCTGTGTACATTCGCAGTTTATCAAAAGTATGTTAGCGCTGACTTTTACATAGACAGTATTGTCTGTCTGCTCGGGGCATTCAGCATATAGATGCAAATGAACCCAATTTGTGTGTCACAGGCATAGTCGTGGCCCTGCCGTGGAGCGGTGGCAGAGGTTTAGTTCTTAGCTAACGATTCCCAAATGTGAGGCTGAATTCTTTGGGCCTGAGCGCACTATTCAAAATTCTTAAAGTCTCATTTGACCCCTGAATGCGCCTGCTCAGTTCAGAAAGGGCACCCATGGTAACCAAGGGCATACATGGTAGGGGCCTCCTTCTACCCCCGGCAGGCTCACTGCCCATGACTGCTTTTGTTTCCAATTAGGGACTCTGCAAAAAGCCTTGCTCCCCAATTTGCTCCCTAGGTCACATTTCTTACATTTTTAAATATAAACATGTCTTCACTTACACTAGATGTCTTACCCTCCCCCCTGCCCCCCCCCCAAAAAAATTGTGCACACAAATCATTTCTTTTTGTGTGTTTAATGGCTGACACTAGATGTCTTACCCTCCCCGCCCCCCCCTCAAAAAAATTGTGCACACAAGTCATTTCTTGTGCTGTGTTCAATGGCTGTGCTATGTTCCAGGACTGTCTATTGTGCTGAAGCAAAGTTGAATTTGAGTTTAACTATCAAAGAGTCTTCTCTTCTCAAAGCAAGTAATTTAAACAATCATCAGTGAAACAACACGTTCAAAATACCCTTGAATTTATCTTGTGGGAAATAAATGTTTCCTATTTAAAAATGGGCTGGTAATTGCTTACTGCTTGTTAGTGGTGCATATTAATGAGTGGAATCACGGGGAGAAGCCCTGGAGGAGTGTGAGCATTGTGGCCAGAGCGGAGCTGAGTCTCTTGACCTGCCAAAGGAACTGCTGGGGTG